TTCAATTCCGTTTCCTTAGTACTTGCACGTAGGCAGAGTACTAATTAAGGTTATAAACGGTGAAGGATTTTTGTAAGAGTGTTATTGTCAGTTAGAGGCAAACCCTAAGTCCAACTCTTACAACCTAAAGCTACCCGCTTGCTACTACCTAAGTGAGCAACTCAACGTTATCTTTGAATTACAAAGTAAAAGCGGACATCCTGAGAGATTTCTGGGTAAAAAGATCGTCTCCTAGTCGAGAAAATAAACATATCCTATTCTCTTCACGAAAGCGTTTAGAGGTATTTATCCTATCGCCTCAAATGACTCACTATTTGCTGTCATTTAAAAAGTAAAAACAAATTTATCGAAGGCAGTGTGCTTATGGTTTCTAGACATCATAATGCACCATGAGGAAAAAGCTTTATTCATAGGGTTATAGCAACTAGATGCGCGATCTAAATCCGAAACTCAACGACTACGATTCTCAATCACAAAACATTCTACTTTGCTACCTAATCGTCTCAACAGATGCTTCGCCAAGAAAAAGAAGACCACTGGTTCAAGGAAAATTTATTTAAAGTTTTCTTATACATCATGAGCAACCGTGTTTATAGCCACGGAGAAATCACAAGCATCCGAAAAGTAGGAATTTCATTATTTGAACTGAAACAAGCAATTTGTAACCAGCCAATTTTTTCACCCCGATTAATAATCAGCTTCTCAGACGGTTGTAAATTCGAAAAAACCACCGACTGTAGACCAAAATCCGAAACGTTATACTTGCTAGTTAAATTCTTACCGAACACTCACCAGATCATCGTACGTTATCCGCTTTTCAAATCCTTTTGAAACAAATAAAATGGTTGTTAACACCGCGTTTACTACAGGCAGTCCTAGTTCGTGCGTTTGCATCTAGTACACTAGGCATTAACAATCATTTAGGGATTTCCTATTGCTTCCTAATTTTGCTTCCAAAAGTACATACAAACACCACACATTCATGCTTCACATTTGGCTCATTCTTGCTTGATTTTGATTCTCTCACAATATATCTATTTTTTTAGCTGACGACAGCCACCTTGTCGAAAAGCTCCAAAGCTTTTTACACTTCAAATCAGGTTCTTAATTCTCTGGGTTTAGTCAGTTCTTCAAAAACTTTGCTAATTTCAACACTGATCGTGCTCTCTTCACCGGATTCATTCGTAGATTGTTGCATGCTGTAAACATGAACGTGAGAGACATTTTTTCCAGATTCCTACATATTAAGTAACCAACTGAGCCAGCAGCAATAGCGGCAACCAAAAATGAACTGGAAACAATGGCTTCTGCTTCCCAAACATGTTCACTTGAATAATCTCCAAAACTTCTACACAGTACTAATTCATTAATAGCTGAAAAACAATTAAAACACTGACAATGTGGTTTCAAATTTTAAGAGGGTAAGCCATTGAGACACAAACCATGCATTTCTGCATGATTGTCCAGCTTCCGCTTAAAAGTCTCCACAGATGGGGCTGTAGTTACGGCCGCCGGTAAAGCGTTCCGGAGACGGCAAACTCGAAGCGAGAAGAAATGTGAACGCACTCGAGTCCTTGGTCTCTGGTGTGCTATCCTTAGCAGGTTACCTCGTGGAAGCCTATAACCACTTAATGGCAGGATGCTCTTATTAGGGTGGGCCTGGTCATTTAAGATCTTATAGACGGTGATGAGGTCTCCCCTGTAACTAAGTGTGAAAACTAGGTGTGTGAACTACTTGTCTTTTGTCTACTAATGTCCGAATGGGAATTATTCATGAATTAAGTGTGAAAAGACTTAATTTCTTCAGTCTTTTCTCATAGGATTTGTTGCGGAGGCCAATCACCCATTTTGTCGCTCGTCTCTGGACACTTTCTAGCATGTTAGCATCCCTTTTGAGTAGCGGAGGAGCAATGATATTATGCACCTCAAGGAGTGGCCGCACGTATGTCGTATACAACGTTAGGAATAGTTCAGGAGTAAGAGCTCCCAGCTGCCTATGCATAAAGTGTAAAGTGGCGTAAGCTTTGGCGACGTCCCTCGTGTAATTAACACTGGTGTCTAGCTTTTCTGTTAAAATAAGGCCTAGATCGCGTTCCGATGGCACACAACTCAAGTTCTGGCCACCAAGGGTGTAATTTGCACTCTGTGACCTGCCGGAATGAAGTTGCACTACTTTGCTCTTCTTTAAGTTGAAAGGCATTCCGTTAGCCAGAGCCCATTCTCCCAGAGTTTGCAGGTCAGTCTGCAATCTGTCGGAGTCTTCCGATGAGTTTTTTGCTCTCCAAATCTTTACGTCGTCAGCGTAGAGAAGCGCAGAGCAATTCAGTTGACAGGGCAGGTCGTTGATAAAAATCAAAAACATCAACGGCCCTAAGATAGAACCCTGAGGAACCTCTGATGCTGAGGTGTGCCAGGATGATCGGATGCGGTTGACTTTGGTGCAGAATTCTCTCTCGCCTAAATAATCTTCCAGCCATGCGAGAAGTGCTCCAGAAACACCCACTTTGCTTATTTTGTGAAGGAGCA